ATGTGTCCGTCCATGTGTGTGTGTGTGTGTGTGTGTGTGTGTGTGTTTGGAGTGGTATGTCTCAGCGGAAGAGCAATCGCCTAGCATATGCTTGGTCCTGGAGTGTGTGTGTGTGTGTGTGCACACATGTGTGTTTGTGTGTGTGATATTATATATCATCATCTTCATCATCATCACTATCCTCTTCATCACCATCATCATCATTTTCTTTACATATTGAGCTCTTCCCACGGTTCAGAACACCAGGAGCCAGGTGATGCTGAGAGCCGTGTAGGATGCTGGGAGAGCCTTGCTTTAATTCCCACTCAATGGCTGCTGTGGGAAGGGGGTACCTGGTGCTCTCCAGCAAACTGCTTCCTGGCAGTGGTGCAGGGCTGACTAGGCACACTTCAGAACAAAAAAATCTGGCCTGTGCCGAGGGATAGAGACTGAGCTTGGAAAGGGAAGGGATCCGAGTGTTGGTTTGATAAAGCCGAGGACAGGGGAAAATGAAGTCTTGCTGCTTCAGAGGCGGTGACTGTGGGCTACGCACAGACACTTGGGCCTGTGGATGGCGTGAAGCCTGGCCTCTCAGCCACTACCAGTTCCTGGCCAGCTGCCTCAGGGTGTGTGTATCCTGAGCTGTGGGCTCTGAGGGCCAAGTTCCTTCACTGGCTTTTGTAATAGAGTTTCCCTTTAAGGTATGGCCACAGGGTCCCAGCCTGGGTGTCTTCGCACACCAGCTAGGTCCTCAGTGAGCTACTTTCCAACGGGGATGGTTTTGGATTTGAGGGGTCCTGAAGAGAAGGTGGGGTGGTGGATCCTGGCATTGGTGTCCTGCACCCTGCCAGGGAGGCAAACCTGATCCTGGGTATGCAGCTGGGGCCTGGCCAGGGGCTCCCCAGCTCAGAGCCTCAGCATCTAGAGTTAGACAATGTGGAAAAATACTGCTGCAGGCCTGGGGAGGCTGAGGGGGAGGTTGCCACGGGGTCACGTCTCTATGTGACATACAGAAGGGCTGGGCCATCGAAGCTGGTGTAGGAAGGAATGTCACGGACAGGACTAGGAGGTAGGTGGTCCAGAATTACAGGTGCATTAGTCAGGCTCAGTGTGTCTCTGTCTGTTGCAGGTGTGACATAGGTAGACAGGGTACCTGGGACACACAAGGACCCTCTGTCCTTGTCTCCTCTGAGCATCATACTCCTGGCCCTCTCCTGGGACCTTTGCCTCCTCTATTCCTCCCCAGCTCTGGATGCCCTTCTTTCAGGATCTCCTGCCAACGTTGTCCTGGCATCCCCAGGAACTTGGCGGTAAATTTAGCAACCGCTCTGCCTGCCTGTCTGACCACCCAGATGAGGCAAAGCTCCCGGCCAGGGCCACACAGCGGCATGGTGACAGAGTCCTTCCCAGGGTACAGATGGCAAGGGCTTCGGTGAAGGAGGGGGAACAGCACGGGGGGAGGGGGAAGAGAAAGAAAACTAGAAATGTCACTGTTAACACGAGAGAAGCGGCAGCAATTAGGGACAACTAGGTCCTAATGACCTCCGGTTAGAGGTGACCAGCTGAACAATACCCCTGCAGGGGTGTCAGCAGGGAGAACTCACTCACCTGCTGGAAAACAAGCAGAAGCACAAAGCCAAGAGTCACGGGCTTCCTGTCCTGCGCACTGACCTGTGGGTGATCTTGGGTTAGTGTCTACACTTACGCAGCACAGAGCGCTGAGATACACAGAGATCGGTTCTCCCCATGGCACGGTGGTTAAGGTGGGGGCTTCCCTTCTGCCACTACTTCCAGCTCTTGCTAATATTTCTAATAAAGGTATTTCTGTAGCCTGAGGATGGAGAGGGGTGTGTTTTTGTTTTGAGACAAAGTCTTGCCGGATACCCAGGTTGTCCTCACACTTACTAATCAGTACGATGTCACCAAGTGTACATACCCCTTAGCCGTAATGCTAACAAGTTTCGTACCTTAGCATAGAGGAGTCTAACCTCCCTGCTCATCAGAGCACAGAGCTGCTGAGGTGCCTGGAGTGATGTCTTCTGGCTGTGGTTTTAGGGTCCCATCTGTATTTGAAGACATGGACTTTGTCAGCTCTACTGTGTTTTAGTCAATGAAATGATGTCTGTCTGTCTGTCTGTCTGTCTGTCTGTCTGTCTGTCTTCTGAGACAAGGTCTGTCACTGAGCTTGGAACTTACTGATTATGGCCAGTGAGCCCCAGGGCCCCTCCTGTGCCATCTCCGCAGTGTAGGGGTTGCAAGTGTGTGCTGCTGTGGTTTATGGTTTTCCTCGGGTCCTGGAGGAGCTGAGCTTGAGTCCTCATGCATATAAACCAAGTGCTTTACTCACTAAGCCGTGTCCGAAGCCCTGCAGTTCTTTGGTACAGAAGGGGAGACTCTTTGTCGCCCTTAAAGCTTGATTTGTACTCATTCTAATTGTCAACCTGAGGGAGGGTTTGGTTTGGTTTGGTTTTTCAAGACAGGGTATCTCTGTGTAGCCCAGGCTATCCTGGAACTCACTCTGTAGACCAGGCTGGCCCCGAACTCAGAGATCCGCCTGCCTCTGCCTCCCAAGTGATGGGATTAAAGGTGTGCACCACCACCGCCCAGCTCTACCTGAGTTTTTAAATGCTTCACAGGACAGATATTAAAAGGGTGGCCTGGCGCTTGTTAAAACATGTGAAGTAAAGATTTTTTTTTATTGGCTTATTTAAATGTTATAAATATGAGTGTTTTGTCTGCATGTATGTATGTGCACCAGTGTGTATGAGTGTGAGTGTGTGTGTGTATGTATGTGCACCTGTGTGTGTGTATGTATGTGTGTGTGTATGTATGTGCACCTGTGTGTGTGTGTATGTGTGTGTGTGTATGTATGTACACCTGTGTGTGTGTGTATGTGTGTGTGTGTATGTATGTGCACCTGTGTGTGTGTGTGTGTGTGTGTGATTAACTGGGGACCCAGAGATGCTGGGGGTTCACATGACAGCTGTTCACTTTGCCTGCTGGCCAGAAGCCCTTTCACTGCAGAACTGTGCCTGGACTGTAGGTCTCACAGCTATCTGTGGGCTTCTTCTGTTGAACATCTCATCTCAGGGGAGGATTGGCAGAGTCGGCTACGCTTGTCCCTTATGCTCTTGACAAGCTCTGTTCCTGCATGTTTGAGGGAAACCCAACTCCCTTCTGCACAGCATCCAGCAGCAGCAGGTGGTACTTTCTAGTGTTTTAGCTCTCAGGCCTAGGTGCCTGCTCTCGACAGTGTGTGTCTGGATCCCAGCCCCTGGTACCAGTTAGTGTTACAGCTCTCAGGGCGAAGTGTCTGTACCCCAGCCCTCCACAGAGTCTGGTGTTCTAGATCTCAGCCTGGCTGTCTGAGAATCTGAGCCTTTGACGGCTCCCTGGAGTTCTTCTAGCAACCATGGCCCTCATTTTCCTCAGATCTCCACAGCTCCTGCCTCCAACCACACTTGTTTTTATTGCTCCTGCCCTAGCTTCTGGAAATCTCCTTCTGAGCTTTGGTTGGTTATTTGGTTGTTGTTGTTATTGTTTATTTGTTTTTGTTTTCTTTTGACTTATTTTATTATTTATATGAATACACTGTCACTGTCTTCAGACACACCAGAAGAGGGCATCAGATCTCATTACAGATGGTTGTGAGCCACCATGTGGTTGCTGGGATTTGAACTAAGGACCTCAGGAAGAGCAGTCAGTGCTCTCCAGCCCTTGTTTTCTTTTGAGAAAGTATATCACTACATAGCTCTGGTAGGCCAGAAAGTTGCTAGGTAGACCAGGCTGTCCTTGAACTCACAGTAGCTGTCTGCCTGTGGCTCCCAAGTACTGAGATTAAAGGCATGAGCCACCATACAGAGCTTCAGATGCCCTCTTCTTGCTACCCATTGACATGGCTGCTATTGCCACCATCTCCCTTTCTTCCTGTTCTCTGCTCAGTGGACTCTACCTATAACTCAAACCAGTCAAGACCCCAGTATGGAGATGGGAGATGGGCAGGAAGTCCCCCCTAGCTAAGGAACTGTTGGCAATTGATAGTTGCTAGAAGAAGGAGAGTCAGGGTTTTTGTCTTTAAGAATGTAGCCCCTGGTAAGTGGACCATGCTCTGCTGGAAGGCCATAAATCTGAGAATATATGGGCAGCACAAATTTGACTTTCATATGTTTAGAAAAAGAAAACAGAAGACAGGAAGTTGAGTGGGGTGGGAGGCAGGGGTGGATCTGGGAGAAGTTGAGAAAGAATGTGACCAAGATCAAAACACATTGTATGAAAGAACTCATAAAAATGAAGAGGAAAAGATCAGAACTGAGCAAGCAATGGGCACCAGAGAGATGCCTTTAATGGCCACGACACTGCAGTACCAGGAGCAACACAGGAAACTGCCTTCCTGAGACACACAAAGGGATTCCTTCACATAGCCTATTCATGTAGATGGAGCAGAACAACAGCTTGGAGAGTCTGGCAAAGGCGTCATTAACAAATGGGGCAGGCCTTCATTTCAAACTCTGCACCAGTCAAGAGCCTTCTGCTGGGTTGCCAGGGGAAGTGCTGACCCTCAGGTCTGGGTAGAAATGGCTGCAGGGTCATGCAGGGTTCACTGGGGCTGTGACCGGCAGAAATCCAGGGGCAGGGTGTTGAAGTGGGTGTGGAGACAGAGCTGGGCTTCTACAGCAAGAAGCTGCAGTTGCCACGGGGTTTCCTGAAGGCCCTGCATAGCTCAGAGCAGCCTGCTGGCTATTTGGCAGATAACAGTGGGGTGGGGGGCACCAAGGAAGGGTCTAACAGCCAGCAAGTAGAGAGTCAACATCCCTCTGACTCTCAACGTTCTCAGCTTAAAACAAAAAATACCCCTGAGAAAGGATGGTTACGACCAAGGCTAACTATTAATGGTCTATCAATAAATAGTATTTGGTAGTGATTTGTCAATGCTTAGTTCCTGTCCTGGTGCCTTAGTGAGTGATAAGTCCCCCTAACCTAGCTTGTCTCCTAACTCCCTTTAATTCCTGTGTCTCCAACAGAGCGACAGAGACAAGGGAGGAGCAGCCACACTAGGGGCCACAGGAGGGCTCTCAGTGGCGTCCATGGCTGGCCTGGACCCCACCTTGAGCACAAGTCACCCATTCTATGATGTGGCCAGACACGGCATCCTGCAGGTGGCAGGTAGGTTAACTATCTGGTTGGTCCCAAGACTGATCGGTATAGTCTTTAGGGGCTTGCAAGGTAGAGTGGGCTGTCACAGGCTGCCTCTCTCTAGCTGGGTTGCCGAAATGAAGAACATAATGAGAACAAGAGGACCCACCAGTGTTCCCAGACAGCAACAACAATGACATCTGTGTCCCGAGTGCTGTCTCAGCTGCTCAGGGTAGTTCCCCACCTTCTTAAGTGGATGACATCATTAAGTAAGGATGCCGGGCTGTGTCTCAGCCATCAGACATCCGTAAAAACTCATATGACTAGCAACCTGCTCTCACAGGGTGTCAGGAGCCAGGAAAACATTCTGCTACATAGAATTTAGGCCTGCGGACCTCTCAGCATGCACTTAGAGCTTGACTCTAAGTCCCCTGCACCAGCTGTCATCATTGGCTCTTTCTTCTAAGGAGCTAAGATCCTAACGAGGTAGGATCAAAAGGAAGTTCTGTCCTCAAGTAATTGAAGACCCCAGAAACAGGAGTAAAGAATGTTTTGGCACTTGCTGAGTGTAAGAGGGATCCTAAAATGGCTGGGACCAATGGCACTTGGTTGCTTGAAGCTTTTAGTGTCCTTTTTAGAAAGCTTTAGACTTAAAAAAGAGGGATGCTAGATCAAACATGGAGGACATGGAGCCACATATCAACCAAAGAAAGGAAAGAAATGGTCACTTAAAAAAAGATTTATTTATTTTATGTATATGAGTACACTGCCACTGTCTTCAGACACACCAGAAGAGGGCATCGGATCCCATTACAGATGGTTGTGAGCCACCATGTGGTTGCTGGGAATTGAACTCAGGACCTCTGGAAGAGCAGCCGGTGCTCTTAACTGCTGAGTCATCTCTCCAGATCCCAGAAATGGTCGCATTTAATAAAATTAAAATATTAAAAATTTTCTATTTAATACTTCTTTTTTTAAAAAAAATTACTTATTTTTATTTCATATGTATTGATGTTTTGTCCGGGCTCTTAACAGATGAGCCATCTTTCTAGACCCCTGTTTAATGCTTCTTTTTTTTTTTTTTTTTTTTTTTTTTTTTTTTTTTTTTTTTTTTTTTGGTTTTTCGAGACAGGGTTTCTCTGTGTAGCCCTGGCTGTCCTGGAACTCACTCTGTAGACCAGGCTGGCCTCGAACTCAGAAATCCACCTGCCTCTGCCTCCCAAGTGCTGGGATTAAAGGCGTGCGCCACCACCGCCCGGCCTGTTTAATGCTTCTTATTTGGCAAATATTTATAAGTAAAATCCTTTAGTGCAGGTTTAGTCTCAGCATGTGGGAGACAGAGGTAGGCAGCTCTCTGTGAGTTCCAGGGCAGCCAGGGCTACATAAAGAAACCCTCCCCCTCCCCCTCAAAAAAGCCAAAAAAACATAAAACAACAAACAAACAAACAAAAAGCAAAATAAAAGAACACCATGTTTATCTTTTATTTTATATTTCTAAGTATTTTGCCTATCTGTATATCTGTGTACCACATATGTGCTTGGTACTATCAAAGGCCAGAAGAGGGTGTTGGATCCCCTGGAACTGGAGTCATAGATGCTTGTGTGACCCTATGTTGATGCTAGGAGTCAAATCCAGTTGTTCTGCTAAAGTACCCAGGTGCTTTGCAAGATGGCTCTTAACCTGAGCCATCTCTCCAGCCCCAGAACCCATGTGATTTTTTTTAAAGCTTTTCAACACTTTGTGTGTGTGTGGTATGTGTATATGTACATGGGTGCCTATGTCATACACACATGTGTATGTCTGCTGTGTCTGTGTACATGTATGTGTGCTCATATGTACAAGTGCACACCTATGTGTTTGTGTGTGGACATGTATGTATGGGTGTGTGCATTTTGAGACAGGGTCTCTGATTGGATTCAGAGCTTACTAATTGGCTAGACTGGCCAGCCAGCCTTCTCTGGGGATCCACCTGTCTCTGCTTCCTCAGAGTTAGGATAACAGACGCTTGCCATCACACCAAGCTTGGATTCTGAGTGATAACATTAGATTATTGATAAGTTTAGAGACTTCAAAATTTAGGAACCAGGAACTCTGCATGTGGCCAACCTGCACACATGTCCTTTGGACACTTGAAAAGCATGTGTACTTTTCACTGTTGGGTGTGATGTTGTGTCTTTCAGTGAGGTTAGGTTGGTTAGTGATGATGTCATTCCGATTTTCTGCATCCTTGTCCTGCTCTGTGTCCACCTGGCACAGGAATTTCTAAAGCTCTGAAAATTGGACTTAGTTTAAAAATAAAAGGTGGACATTTGTCCCTTTGATTCTGTCCATCTTTGCTCCTTCTGGGTTTTCTGTTTTTCTGTCTTGATTCTTTTTATTATCATTGTCGGGCTGTGTGCATGCCACAGTGTGCGCTCGAGATCAGAGGACAACTTTGTGGAATTGATTCTCTCCTCTTTATGTGGTCTCTGGGATTCAAACTCATGTCATCAGGCTTGCACACGAACTCGTTACCTGCTGTGCCCTGTCCCTGGTCCCAGAAGAAAGAGCAGCGATCCAACCTTTCTGCTGTGGAGCTGTTTTGAGAAACGACTGGACCATAGTCCAGCTGGACCAGGAGCTGGCTGAGGCTGGGGATGACCTTAAACCTCTAATGCTCCTGCTCCCAAACCTCAGGAGCAGCCAAGATGACTGTCCTGTATCCCACCATCCCAGGTGAAGGAGGTGCTGGGGAGCTGAACCCAGGGTCTTTGGTGTGCCGGGGGGGGGTACTCTACCTACTAAGCCACATACCAGACTTATTTTGTTTTTGAGATAGGGTCTCGCTATGCTAGCCTCCACCTGAGTGTCTCTCTGGCTCAGCTGCTTGAGTGCTGGATTGTCTGTGTGTACCCATCCTGGTCCCTGCCCTGTGTGTGAGGTTTTGTGATGAGTGTGATGAGTGCGATGAGTTGTTCTGTCTGCATGGTGTGCTGTTAGTAAGTCCCCTTTACACCTTCTAATACTTGTCTTTTTTGTCTGGTTGTTTTTGAGGTGGGATCTCACGTAGCTCAGGCTGGCCACAAACTTACTAGACAGCCAGGATGACCTCCAACTCCTTCCCTTTTTGCTTCTTCCAGATGCTGGGATCACAGGCACGCACCTCCACACCTATCTCCCCCTTGCCTTAGAGTGTGATCTTCCTGACCAAGGCCCTCACATAGCTATCTCATTCCGGCAGCTGGCAGATGTGCCTCTCCATTCTTTCTCTTCCCACCTGAAGGTCCATATATACCTCTACAGAACATGTCCACGGTCTTTTAGAGATGGAGACAGAATGGGAAGCCCATTCTCAGGGCCTGGTACACTGAGGAGTCTATGTTTGGCCATGATAGCTCCAAGGCCACAACCGACTTTGTGATTGACAGTTATCCTTTTTTTGCAGAGGAGGAGAGTGCTGATGGCAAGGGTATGTAAGTGTGTGTCTGTGTGTACCTATGTGTATATGTGTGTGGTGGGTATGTACACATGTGTGTGTGTTTCTCTCTGTGTATGTGTGCATGTGAGTATTTGCATGTGATGAGTACAGATGCCCGTGGGCTAAAGGCATCAGATACCCTGGAATTGAAGTTACAGGTGGTTGTGAGCTATCCAACATGTACTAGGAGCTGAACTTGGGTTCTCTGTAAGAGCAGTAAAGGCTCTTAACCATTAAGCCTTCTCTAGCCCAAGAGATGGTTTTAAAGTGTTAAGCTGGAGGCTGAGCTGAGCTTCTGGACTGAGGATGGAGTCCTTATAGCATGGATAAGACCTCTGGTGTGTAGAATCGATTCTTTAAGAGAAGTGACTTGTCTTTTTTTGGCCTCTGTCCCACCTGCTCTATTGGCAGATGCCCCAGAGCTGGCTTCACTCACTGTGGGATATCCCTGTGGTTTCTTATGGGTCCTTCCGTGTCACTAAGGGGCTGCTCTAGTTTAATTTCTATTACTCTGATAAATACCGTGGCCAAAAGCAGCTTGAGGAGGACAGGGCTTATTGTATCTTATAGGTTAGAGTCCATGATACAGAGAAGTCAGGGCAAGAACCTGGAAGCAGGAACTGCAGCCAAGGGCATAGAGGAACACTGCTTGGTCCTTCTGCGAATTCGGTCCGATCAGCATGATGTCATCAGTAAGTGGACCAGCACGGTATTTTGTGGAAGAGATGACACAGGACTGGAGAGTTAATGTACTCTTGTGGTATAACTGTAAAATTGTGAGAGCAAAGAGCCCCTGGAGGTCCTTGTGACATTTTCTAGATCAGTAGCTGCATACTGTGTACCAGGATATATGTTAATCTGCACAATCAAGGACACTATGTCTGGAATGGAAGTCACTATTTCATTAAGTTCCGATAGTCAGCTGTCATTCTCCGTAGTCTGTCTGTCTTCTGCACTGGCCAGGTAGGAGAGTTCAAAGGAGATGACATGGGAGCCACCACCCCTACACCTTCCAATTTCTTGATGGTGGCACTAATTTCTGTCATTCCTCCTGGGATACAATATTGTCTTTGGTTTACTAATTTCTTTGATAAAGGCAACTCCAATGGCCTCCATTTAGCCTTTCCTACCCTCACTCCGTAGGTCAGGGAACCAATGTGGGAATTCTGCCAACTTCTAAGTATATCTATCCCAGTTACGTATTCTGGAACTGGGGGAATAACCACAGGATGAATTTGGGGACCCACTGGACCTATTCTGAATAGGGCTTTAGCCAAAACGCCATTGATCACGTGACTTCCACATGCCTCTACTTTAACTGGAAGGCTTATTTGGGGGAAGAATTTTTAAAACCAGTTTTCTAGGAGTGTTTGGAAGGAAAGGGATGGAAAGAGAAAGTGTGTGTGTGTGTGTGTGTGTGTGTGTGTGTGTGTGTGTGTGTGTGTGTTATGGGGTTTCTCCTGGCCCCTGAGTGTAGAAAACTCTGTTTAGGCTCCTGGGCTGGGCCAAGACACCCTATCCCCAGCCTGCAGGAGTAGCATTTCCTCTTGGCTTCTCCTGAGCCGAGGCACTGCAGCCATCAATAAACACTGGTTAAGTGATCTTGAGATCAGGCAAAGGGAGGAGGTAGAGGCCACCAAAAAGAAGGTGTTGCTGAGAAGACTGGACATCACAGGTGGTGGCATGAGGCTGCAGGGGAGGGAGGACAGAGGCTCTCTGGTGCAGGGAAGCAGAGGATGGTGGGAGATACAGATTTTGGCTGTTCTGTGGGACCTAGGCTTTGTGTGTGTGGAGAGGCCTTCAGGCTGATGCTATAGTCCGATGAGTCTAATCTGACTTTGTGATTGACAGTTATCTTTTTTTGCTGAGGAGGAGAGTGCTGATGGCAGGGGTATGTGAGTGTGTGTGTGTGTGTCCATGTGTGTGTGTCTGTGTGTGTTTGTGTGTATCTATGTGTATGTATATGTATGTGTATATGTGTGGTGTGTGTGTCCACCTCTCTCTCTCTCTCTCTCTCTGTCTCTCTGTCTCTCTGTCTCTCTCTCTCTCTCTCTCTCTCTGTCTCTCTCTCTTTCTCTCTCTCTCTCTGTGTGTGTGTGTATTTGCATGTGAATCGAGAAATGCCCTTTGGGTTCTGACCTTTCTGGGCCAACTTAACTTTCTCTTGTGCCATCTAATCATGGTGTCTTTTGGAACGGCCATACTGTGACTCAGAACTTTACCTGAGGGATTGGTGGCCCTTGGACATGGGCCACAGTTGGCATTGGTACCCAGGCAAGAGGACCCAGTTTGGAAAAGTCTCTGTTTTCTGCTGTTGTGCCCAGAGCCTGAGCCAGACAGAGGAGGGGACTGTGTGGTGGGTTAGAGCACAGATCTCTGAGTAAGCTGGGCCTGGCCACAGTTCTTAAGAAGAGAGAGATGAATGGATGCTGCATCTGCAAGCAGATTGTTCTGGAATCTTAAACACCAGCCAGGCTCTGGAGCTTCGCAGAGGAGGGATGGTGTGGTGTTGCACATAACAAGTAGTTTTGCCAGCCGCAGAGGTGGGACTCAAAACCCACCCGTGCCCACACAGTGAGTGCATGTGATGATGCTTTATTCTGGTTCATTATCTTTCCAGGCGTGCGTTCTTCCGGCCTGCATCACGTTTGGGGGAGCAGGGGAGGAGAAACCCTGAGCATGGCTATACATACTTTTTAAAAACACAAGTGAGTTTAAGAGGGGTCTCCTTGTAGAAGGGGGCTTTTGTTTTCTTCTGGGTCCTGTCCTTCGAGCAAGCAAGCCAGCAATGACTGATGGTCAGAGCTGCAGGGAAGGAGATGGGCAGCAGCCCTCAAGGGGGCAGCAGGGCTCTCCTCAGGCTCCTCAGGGAAGAACAGGGCTGTAGACATCCAGCCTGCTGGATCCCCTGGGATGAGGCCAGGCAAAGGGAGAAAGAAGAAGAGACCACCAGAGCAGCCTGGACATCACAGGTGGTGGCGTGGGGCTGCAGGGGAGGGAGGACAGAGGCTCTCTGGTGCAGGGAAGCAGAGGATGGTGGGAGACACAGATGGTGGCTGTTCTGTGGGACCCAGACTTTGTGTTTGTGGAGAGAGCTGCAGACTGATGCTCAGGTTTAGTGAGCAGCGAGGGGCTGCCGCCATATGTCCTGGTATAAATGAGACAGGATGGGGAACAGAGGAGACATACTGAGTTCTAAATAGAGACCCTTGTGCCCTTCCTTCTGAGAATCAAGATAGAGGTATCTAACCTGAGGTGCAGTGTCCCCCTCAGGAGAGGATAGGCTCTGCCACATCACAGTGGCATCTACATAGCTCTGGCCTTCGGATTTCTATACATTGTAAGATAAGTAACCCAACAAATTGCATTATTTCTCTCCTTGGTCTATGCAAACTATACATGGATCTATTTCCCTTCACCAAGTTTCCTAAGACCCTCTGGGATACAGAGAAACTAAGATTATGGACCCAAGTGACAGGTAATGACACTAGGGCTGCTGGAACAGAGGGCCCCCATCCAAGGAGCCTCTAACAGCAGATATTCAGTCTCATGGTTCTGGGGTTCAGAAGTGAGAATCCAGGGTGTGGGTGGGCTGGTTACTCCTGTAGGCTCTGAGGAAATCCACCCCAACCTTCCCAGCATCCTTTGTTCTTCCTGGGGTTCCTTTGTACCTCGTGGCCTTTGCCTATCCCTACACTGCCCACCTCCCCTGGCCCAAGGCTATGTTCTCTCCTAAATCAATTCTCTCCCGCCTCTTTGTTCTAAATCCAAGATGGCCCCATCTTGAACTTTAACCTAATTAAATCTGTGATGAGCCTGTTTGCAAATAAGGTCACATTTAGAGGCCCTAGGAAGTTGTGAGTTGGTTTTTGGGCACGGGAACAGTATTGAGCCCAAAGCTGCCTCCATAATGCCTTTCCCTAATGTCTATCTGAGATGTCCACTCAAGGGCAGCACTGCCCACTGCAGTGTGACACAAGTGCAATGACCAGCATGGTGGCTTCTCAACACATGTCACTGCTGAACCCGAAGTGTGTATAGAGAATACCCTGAGGTGCCCATGGCAGCTGGTAGCCCTCCACACACTGTGACCCCACAACACACGCCTGGCTTCTCAGTCTTGCCCTCTCGACGTGCACATGGGGTGGTGTGTTCACAGATGTGGGGCACAGTGTGTGGGGGGGTCAGGAGGCAGCAGCTTGGTTAGGATGACAGGTGTGTTTGCAGGTCAGGGGACTCAGGAGGGGTGACATCCAGGGCTGGGGCAGGAGGATGCCTTCTATGAAATGAAAGCCAGATGTGGTAGCACATGCCTGCAATTCTAGTGCTTGGAGACTTAGGTAGGAGTGTCAGAGGTTCCAGGGGATGCAGATGAGCAGTGCCACCGGCAACCCGGGGACAACGCCTTGGAACCTCTGCTGTGGTAAAGCTAGGTCATTTTGTTTTGTTTTTTGACATAGTGACTATAGAGCTCTGGCTGCCCTGGAGTTCATTCTGTAGACCTGGCTGGCCCCAAATCCACTAAGAATTAACAGGAAGGACAAAAAGGACCTCAGGTTGAGGGCCTCTCTCCCTTCCTCTGTCCTCTTTATTTTTTCTTCTCATCCTGCCTCAGGAGGATCCAGGCCAGCCTTGGTGCAATTCAGGCCTTGTTGCAAAGAGGTGAGCTGAGCTGGTTCAGTGAGTCAGGATGCCTACCGTCAAGGCCTAGGACCCACATTGGTGGAAGGAAAGAACCAAGTGCCAGCTGTCACATGTCACACATGCACACACATACACACACACACACATGCACACCAACTGTCACAAGTCACACACACACACCAACTGTCACAATCACACACACACACCAACTGTCACAATCACACACACACGCACAAGCACTCGCACACTGAGAGACGGTGAGAGAGACACAGAGCTATAAATGAAGGCCCCGGCAGCTAAGTCTCCTCTGCTTTTGAACCCTGGGGAGCTGGTCTCTTTCTTGTGTCCTGGTCATCAGCACATGTCCCAGTTGCTCTCCCCGTGTCCTGTGTTACCTGTGATAAAGTGTGAGGGCAGAGCTGTGTGGGAAACAAAGCCCCAAGGATCCAGCCTGCAGGAGCTGTGACCAGGCTGCTGGTCCTCAGCATGATATGACACTAGTCCCGACCCTAAGTCTTCCAGTGTGCACACTGGGTTCCATAGAGACAGAAGGAAGGTCCGCCCATAGGGCTCACAACCTGTGGAATAGCGTATGCAGCATTTGGGACCTCAGCAGTTACCTTCCCTCTGGAGAGAGCCCCTGTGGTCTCAAGCTCACTAAGTGTCACTATAAGCCTGGCATGAGCCTGGACTTGGAATGGGCCTTCAAGTCCACAGAAAAACCATCTGAAAGGGCTCCTGTCACCAAGGCTACCATGGCTGCCACCAGTACCAGCTGTATGCTAGGGACAGCTTGCCTCTTTCCTATCCAGCAGAGCTGTATGTATCTCTCTAAGCTGAAGACCTTCCCCTGTCCTGCATACAAGGAGGCCAGAAGCTTCCGATCCAGCGGCTGTTGCCAGTCCTCAGAACACGTTCGTCCCTAAGGCCTATTGGCAGTCTCTTGTGCCAAGAGTTGATCACAGCACAGGGTGGCTTGGCCTCCTGTATTGGATGTGTGGTCCTGTCCTATTCAGGAACAACTGGTCCCTGACCCCTCTGGCTTTCTCCAAGACTCAGAGTCCTAGGAGAATACTAAGGGGACACTTTTGTAAGAAAGAGGCAGTTGTATCTTGTACTCGAAGTCAAATGTGGATAAAATTAAACCCACCTGTGGGACCTGCCACTCGTGGGACCTGGCACTGGTGACCTAACCTGGCAGCTCCAGTGTTCCATCTGTTAAATGGGAGTGATGGACAGTTGGAAGGTTTTCTCAGGAAATGTGTATGTCACATACCTCCCCTGGGTGTCGCCTGAGCCCCAGCCTTAGGCATCCCAGCCATTGCTCAGTCTGGCCTCCTCTGGCCACCATGACTTAGGACTGAGGAAGTCCGGCCCAGTGGCTGAAGGTTCATACCTTTGTTCCTCCAGGGGATGACTGCCAGGGGAGACGCATCTTCACTTTCAGTTGCTGCCGGCTGCCACCCTTGCATCAGCTCAACCACCAGCGTCTGCTCGAGTGAGTACCACTCTGTTCTCTGCAGCATCTGCCTACCAACGTGGTCATCCTGGTCTCCATTTCCAGGGAGGACATAGAGAGGCAGTGAGCTCAGGATCTCTGGAATCCACATCATAGCTGTCTGGGAGAGGCTCCCACCACCAGGGCCACCAGGGCTTCACCAGCACCAGTAGAATGGTGGATGTTGGCGTGATTCCCCTCTTAGCCAGCTGAGCTGTGGGCACTGACCTCCGAGGTGGGGGACAGTCCCCTGTCCCAAGGGCATGGAAGCTTTGTCTCCCTTACCTGATGGATGCAGGCTGTCTAGAGAGCAGGAAGGCGTGTTTCTGGAAACACAGTAGATCAGCAAGATGACTGAGGTGGAACCATAGTGGTGGGGCAAGGGCAAGGCTAAAAGTTACGTGGCCCTGAGTTCGAATCTTAGCCCTCCTTGAACAGTTTGCTGTGGCTGCCTTAATAAATGATGGTGAACTTAGTGGCATGAAACAGTAGAACTATATTCTATCCAGAACCGAGGTGTGCTTCAGACGTGCTCCCTTAGTGCTCCCTCCATGCTCCCTCCAGAGGGAGAGCCGGTGGCCAGTCTCCTCTAGCTCCGAGTACTGGTCAAATCCTTGAACCTCTCACCAGGACTGTATCATATCCACTCTGCCTGCATCTTCACACAGTCTTGTCTCTCTAAGGGTCTTCTCTGTGGACCCATGAAGGGGCCTGGGCCTGGGTTTGCATCTCTAAGACATCTCCTGGAAGCCATCTTGGTGGGTCCAGCATCCACCCATCTCTTAAGACCCCAGATTCATCCGTGAGCACCTTTTATCCCAAATGCAGGGTGATCACAGTTTCTGGGGCTTTGCTGTGGCTGTCTTTGGGGAGGTGCCATGTCCACTTGCTAGCTGTACGACCTTGGGTCAGTGAGGTAACACCTCACCTGAACCTCAGGTGTCACCTATGGGACAAGGAGAGTCTCCACATGGTCCTGGATATGACCTAAGCATGGCTAGCTCCCGACTACTGCTGGCTGATTGGTGGCTTCTGTTTCATGGACGTTAGTACATCACAGTGTAGAGCTAACAACTGTCTGAAGGAACCCTGTGTCTTGTGCCCTCCAGGTATCTGAAGTACACACTGGACCAGCATGTGGAGAATGACTATACTATCGTCTACTTTCACTACGGCCTCAGTAGCCAGAACAAACCATCCCTAGGCTGGCTCCAGAATGCTTACAAGGAGTTTGACCGGAAGTGCGTACAAGGGGGGCACAGGATTGGGAGGCACACGGGGACTGAATGGGGGTGGGGCAGGGCCATGGGCTATGCAGTGGGTACAGACAGATGCTGATGCCTCATTTTAGTGATGGAGAGAGTCCATTTGGGAGAAGGCTTCAGAATCTCAACACTTCTGTCCTGTTGCTGGAGGCAGAAGTGTCTAAGGTAACCAGAGGATTAGCATCTGGGCAAAAGGCAGTGGTTATTATGTTTGGGGTTTTGAGACAAGTTCTCACCGTGTAGCCCTGCCTGGTCTGGAACTCTCTATGGAGACCAAATCTCTGTCTCCTGAGGGCTAGGATTAAAGGAATGTGCCACCATACCTAGCAGGCCACTGGTTTTTGAAGGGTGACAAAGTGAGAGGTCACATCTGCAGATAGAGGAGGCCACGTGAACAGCCATTCCCATGTATACTGAAGGACATCAGAGAACACAGCTGTCCCTGCGGGGGGATGGAGTACTTTCTGGCTTCTGCTCTTATCCTGGGTCAGCGGTGCTAGGTAGAGGTCAGAGGGAGAGACAGCCGGTGGTCTTCAGATTGGAGGAGCTGAACTCTCCTGCTTTCTTCCCACTCTTGGCCAGATATGCTGGGGCATGCTTATAATCCCAGCCCTCTAGAGAGGACAGGAGGACCAGAGTTCAAGGCCATCCTAGGCTATGTGAGGTTGAGGCTAGCCTGGGCTACATTTGGCCATGTTTCAAGAATAAAACCCAATTTAATAAAGATTTTTCCCACTCTCTAGGGAAAGGAGGTAGGGGCAGGGAATGGGAATTTTTTATCTTGGCTCCATAGAAACAAAACAAGTGGGTGCTTTAGGCACCGGAACTATCCAAGACCGGCTGTCCCTAGAGGCCTGCACCTGGGATTCTAGCTCTGATCTGTTCTGGGAGAGCCTGCAGATGCCTGTGCTATGCTCTGGAGGAACCCCACCGGCCTCCTCCTTATCTCCCTCCAAGTCAGGCCACACCTGCTAAGCGTCTACTCCTTACACAGCCTGACTCCAGGAGTGCTTGCCATTTTTTGAGGCTTCTTGTGAGAGCAGCTCCCTCTTCAGTGGGTGTGGAGCATCTCCAGGCTCTCTCACCTTGTGGCCAGAGCTTTGTAGATATGATTCAAATGATGCCCCAGTCACAGGGCCTCAGCATCAGATCTCCAGAGGCCACCCGTGGCCTTGTGCTTTTGGCTTCGTGATCTCTGCTGAGCGGCTGGGTGGCAATGGGGCACTGGCCAGCACTGACATGTAGGACACCTCTCCTCTCCTCTCCTCTCCTCTC